TATACATATATATTCGTATATATTTATATACATATATACATATATATGTATTTATATATATATATATATATATATTTATTTATAGATATAAATATATATATGTATATAAATTACATATATATGTATTTTTATATATACATATATATTTATCTATATTTATTTATAGATATAAATATATATATGTATATAAATTAAAACTCTGATGAACCAGATTCTACAAAATCATTACATTCAAATTTTTATAGGTTTTCATCATCATTTGATGTATTTGCACTCATTGTGTCTACTTTTAATATTCATTTTAAATGTGTGGTTTTCTTTCTTGTTCACATATTTACATTTTATTTTTAGCTTTGCTTTAAAATTCTTGTTTTGTGATTTGTACATTCGTGAGTTAAAATAAAGTTGAACTGAAGGTCGTCTCTTTTCTTTAAACATGTTTGAGGGAAATATTCCTGAGATCCAATAGTTTTGTGTCTTTTTATGATTTTCAGCTGAGTTAACAGTCATTTAAGTGAAAACAGGATTTCATGATGAAGCTGGCACCGTTTTTTTTTTTTTTTTTAAATCTTCAACGCTCTGCTGGTCTCGCACGACACTGCCCGCAGTCACACGATCCTCTCCTCCGGAGAGGAGGAGGGTGGGAGGCTCATCCTCCCAGCTCCAGTTCAGCTGGTGACTCCAGAGGCTGTTCCAAGATTCCAGCTGCGCGTAATCATGAAGGTCCGACCCGCGCAGACAGGCGGACAGAGACAGGTCTGCGACGAACGGTGGAAGCGATTTTAAAAAACCTTTTACGTGTAAAAAAAAAAAAAATCTTTTTTAAATCGCTTCAGCATTTTTTTTAAACATTTTTTGTATAAAAACAAAATGTTATTTTATTTAAAAATCGCTTCCAGCGTCCGTCCCAGACTGTCCAGTCCGCCTGACTGCCGGGCGGGATCGGGATTCAGCCTTCATGATTACGCGCGGCCGGGGTCTCGCAACGGCCATCTGCGAGTCCCCATCTCCAGCTACGCAGTGACCTGCGGAGCTCTGAGCACACAAGGCTGGTATCCGGAACCCGAGCCTCCGAGTCGGCACATGGATGGATCTTCCGTGGTGACCAGCTGAACTTGGAGCCGGGGAGATGACGCCCTGCCCGGTCTGGCGCTCCAAGGCTCCGGAGGGAGGATCGGGGTACACCAGCAGAGCTCCATCCAGCTTGCTCTGAATTATGTTGTCGGCCACCAAGCACAAAAAATGCCAGCACATCAACATTAGACCAAGATGTTGTCAGTATTGTTTTTAAAATCTTTAAAATAAGTCCAGCCGCTGCTCCAGTCCGAGAAATTGCAAATGGCGGATTATTGTTTTGAAACGTTTCTGAAGGATCCAGTGACTCCGCCCCCGACTCCGCCCCCGACCAACCAGTGACCGACAGTGTACTGACGTCACGTTTTTGTACCTCTTCGTACCGGTTAGAACCACAGAGCCAAGGGTACTGAAAATAGTAACAGGTGCTAAGTACCGGTACTAATGGAAAAGCCTCAGAACCGGGCCAAGTAGGGTCGAGTCGGCCCGTACCGGTACTAATGGAAAAGGGGCATATGGGGCATTCTCAAGAGGAAAATGAGGGGCACCAGACCCAACAACAAAGAAGATCTGACAGCATCAAGGAAATCTGGGCTTTCATAACTCCCAGTCAATGCCACAGGCTGATTGCCTCAATGCCACATCACATCCAGGAAGCGATTAAGGCAAAGGGATTCCCAACCAAGTATTGAAGATTGACAAATTCTTTTGAAAGTACCATATTTTGATTGATTTGTTGTGATCCTAATTTATTTATTTTTTCTGCAAAAACTGAGTAGTGTGTGCTGATGTCTTCACAGTATTGTAATTATATGAAATCCTGTTTTCATGGGTTTCATGAGCTGAAAGCCCAAATTATGTTAAAATAAACAAATAAATACTTGAAATCATTTAAATTGTGTGCCCTGAATCTATCATCTATTAAAGATTAACTTGTTGAATGACATTATGGAAGTTAAACAACTTTTCCATGATATTCTAATTTTTTGGAAAGGGTCTGTATATATATGTGTGTGTGTGTCTATTTTGGAGTTATAGCCCCCGCTGGAGAAAACTCCACCTGCTGCCACTGCATATCTGGGTAGTGACCGAAAGAATGAGATCGCAAATACAGGCGGTTGAAATGAGTTTCCTCCGCAGGGTAGCTGGATTCTCCCTTAGAGATAGGGTGAGTTCAGATATCTGGGAGAGACTCAGAGTAGAACTGCTACTCCGCGTCGAGAGGAGCCAGTTGAGGTGATTCGGGCATCTGGTAAGGATGACCCCATGGCGCCTCCCTAGGGAGGTGCTTCGGGCATGTCCAACTGGGAGGAGACCCTGGGGAAGACCCAGGACACACTAGAGAGACTGTCTCTCAGTTGGCCTGGGAATGCCTTGAACTCCTCCCAGAGGAGCTGGAAGAGGTGGCTGTGGAAAGAGATGTCTGGGCCTCCCTGCTCAAGCTGCTGCCCCCGTGACCCAACTTCGGAATAAGTGGAAGATAATGGATGGATGGACATATGGTCCCTCACTTATCACAGGGGTTACGTTTGACAACCTTGCGATAAGTGAAAATCAGCAAAGTAGGGACGTTGTACATGTTTTAGTATATATCTTAAGTCTTTATAAACCCTTTCCACAGTCTTGCAATGTTCTTAATGTTCTAAACTTTCTAAACGCTCTTAAAGAGCACAGTGAAATAAAGCAGACAGACTGATGCTACAGTTACTGAGCCAATTGCCGGGGCGGACTAGCCATTGGGAGCACCGGGACACTTCCCGGTGGCCTGACCCACTCAGTGATCGCTAGGGGCTGGACCAAAGACTCAGTTCGGGTCACTCTTGATTATTTTAAATAAACAATCCATGTTGCTCACTCAGGTATCTGCCTCACTGAAGCTTCCTGAGCAGTAGAGATGGGGAAAGACAGACCCCACCCCGTGCCCCCTCCATTCTCTTTCTGAGGCTATCTGTCACAGCAGAGCAGAGACACACAACCGGTTGCACACCCACCTGTTGTGTGTTTCTGCTCTGCTGTGACAGATAGCCTCAGAAAGAGAAAGGAGGGGCCCCTCGGCGATCACTGAGCGGGCCAGTCTGCCCCACAGCACAATGATCTGGTTGGTCGCCTTCCATCTATCAGCCAATCATGTGTCAAGTACAATCTTATGTTGAAAACCCATGAAAGAGTGAATCCACAAAAGTCGAAGCACAAAGTATCAAGGGGACTACTTTATTGGTTTCCTCTACCGTTCTACAAGAAGGGTGCCTTGCCCATTCAACAGAAACAAGCAACCCGCCTACCGAACTGTCCTTCAACCCTCCCCCCGCCCCAGTCAACAACTGCTGGCACAAAAGCAGCGTGTGTTTCTAACACGCCCCCACACACCCTCACCCCCGTCAATAGAAAAATCCTTTTAAGAGCTGAGCGCCCTGCCAAGGCAAGTGACCTAGGGGAATCACAGATATATATATATATATATATAATGTGTGTGTGTATGGTGGTGGCCATCTTGGATTTTGACATGGCAACCCAATTTTTGAAAGGAACCTTCTTTACACCAGGATGCAGTCACCCACCAAAATGAAGAGTCGTCAATTCACTTTTTTTTTCACATTATCGCGCTCACAACATGCACAGATAAACCAAGAGTATTTCCAATTCTCCTTTTTCACTCCGTGACGGGGGACAAAGATATTTCTTCTTCCGATACTAAATGGAAAAGTAACGGATTTCATTTTAATAGACTGAACACTAAATTATAGATTTATTACTAAATTATAGATTTAGTGTAAAGTATAAAGCTGATAACATGACAGAAAAGTTTTCAACAAAACAATATTTAAGGAAAAATACAAACTCCATATCGTCTACTTTCTGCATAATTACTGTATGTTTATAATGTAACCATATTTTTGCTTGGTAATAGTCTCAATGTAATGGTTTGGAAACATAACCTGTGTTTGACGATGTGTTAAAGCTTGAAATTCTCTTACTGCTCATTAGACAGTCAGCCAGCTCCCCCTGCTTCATTCTTCTCATGAAGTTCACAGCAATATTCAAAAATGCCTCTTTGACGAATCTCTGCTGCTCTTTGTCTTCACACTCCAACTCCTCGTCATCCTCCCGGTGACTCTCAGAGCATTCTGGAAAATCTGAACTCAGAGACATCTGTAATTTTTCCAGCTCTTTATCCACGAAAGTCCTGATGTTGTTCCGCAGCTCCTGAAACAGAACGTCGTGTAGATGACATCAGCAGGCTGAAACCGTGGAGCCAGACATCAGTTCCACCACAAACAGACTGACACTCCACTGGTCTATAAAGTGTAGCACAAAGAGGATTGTAAAAAAAATAAAATTAATAGGAAAAAACACCGTAAATATCAAGTCCAGCCCCCTTTGATGCATCAGGACAGACTCAACACTGGGACCTTCTGAGCTTTGGTCGGCAGTTCTGTGGAGAAATCAGTTAAGACTCATTTCAGCGAGCTGTGAGGGTACAAACAAAGTATTTGTCTCTATAAATCAATGGTTCCCAACTCTGCTCCTTGAGGAACACCGTCCTGCATATATTATGTTTCCCGGCTTCTGCAGAACTTAAAGAAATAAATCACTGAATCAGACGTGATAGAGCAGGACACAACTGAAACATGCAGGATGGTGTTCCTCAGGGACCAGGGTTGGGAACATTTTATTTTTGAAATGTGAAAATTTTGGACATAATTGGACACTTTTGGGTGGTTTCTCTGAAAATGTGGAGCTCAGGGAAAATAATAACAGAGAGCGCTCTGGGATCGAATTTCAAAACAAAATCTGACTGACTGGGCTATGTTTGACACAGTTACAACATTTAGATATAGCTCACCTCTCTGTCGGAGGTTGATCCGATTTAAACTGAACGATAATATCCTTTGACGTGTCGCTCTTAAAAGACACACAGCTGGGTTCAGGTTCATATTTCTGTTTACTTGTTTTCCTGTAAATAAAGGCAGACTGTTGGCAGACATATTCTGACGTGAATAAGAGTCCTGGACAGTTATCGAGATGGTCGTCTCACCCTTGAGCTTTGCTCTGGCTCTCACGTTCCTGACCCAGAGAGGTTTTAGAGGGGGGGACTCCCTCCTCTCTGTCCTCACACTGATCCATGCTGCTGAATTCACCTCCACATCAATTCACACACACTTTTCTACATTCACCTGCACAGAAAACAACTCATTTATCTGCATATTTTACACAGTTTGTGCTACAGGGTTGCCAGATAAGAAAAAAAGCACAACTATCATGCTGTCACTTTTAAACAGTTGTGATTGTTCAGGAGGGGAGTTGCACATTTGGTGGGCATGCTAACTTTCTGATGAGATGGATGGATGGATGGATGGTAGACAGGTAGGTAGGTAAATTGATTGGTTGATTTATTGGTTGATTGGTAGATTGATTGATAGGTAGATTGATTGATTGGTACATTGATTGGTAGGTTGATAGGCTGATAGGTTGACTGGTAGATTGATAGGTTGGTAGATACATACTTTACTAAAACCAAAGAAGAATTTGAGAATATGTGAGATATTCCCTGACTAAAAAGTTTTCAATGTTTTTTTTATCCCCCTGGCCTGAACGCGTAGCAGGAGGAACTATCGTTGCAAATGCATCGTTGCAGCCAGAACCCATTTTAGTGACGCGCATAACAAATTGTCTATTGCTATTTTCGTTGCTTTTCTCTTTAACGGAGCGTACGTTCGAAAAACGGAGCGGTACGTTAACGCTAAAATCAAGGATTTTAATCGGGTTGACTCCATCACACATTTAATGCGATTTGCTCCAAGTCAACCCAGCTGAGTTGAGTTCTCCTCCACGCCTCGACACTCAGGAGAGGACAGCCTGTTTTAATGTCGCTCTTGGTGTTACTCTGTTTCTGCTGCTTTGGCGCTTAGAAATAATCGATATAAACGCTACGAAAACACTTTTAAATACCCACGATTACAGCAAAGGTGCATCTCCCTTTAACTTTTATTTTGTTCTCCAGAAACTCACAACGTTCTCTCCGTAAAGTGTCAGTTTTACGTCATAGACGTGTAGATTTTAGTATTACACAGGATTATAGCAAAACAAACAAGGTTTTGGCCATTTATATGCTTTAAGTTTACTTATATTTGGAACCATACCGTGACAAAACTGGTAAATGTAATTAAACAAACGATCAAACATAAATCAAAATGTTTTGTTGTTGTATTGATTCTCTCATTTTTGTTGGTCTAGTTTCCCTAGGTATTATTTCTAATCATGCAGTCATTTACTGGCCATTTATAGACTAGAGACCGCAGCTAGTCAAGTTTAGCCAACACAATGAATCCAGTACAGCGATCATGAGCTACAGCTGGATGCAATCACAACACTCGAGTGTGACGTCGTCCTTTTGTGCCCGGTCAGAACGTGACCTTGGATTTAAAATGTGTTTTGTTTGCAATCTTCTTCTTCTTCTTCTTCTTCTTTCAGAAGTTCCATTGTTAGGTGTTGCCACAGCGAGTCATCCTCCTCCATCTCACTCTGTCCTCACTCCACCTACCTCCATGTCCTCTCTAACTGCATCCATATGGTATGGTATGGTATGGTATGAAGTTTATTCATTTTAAAAAAGTACAAAACAATTCCATAACAATATATAAAAAGATACAAAAAAATTTAAAATGAAAGGCAGCAGAAAGAAGAAAAAATCTTATTTTATCTGCCCCTTTTTTCAAACAATTATTTCAGACATATTAATTTTCAAGTAACAGAACAAAATGAATAACTTTCTAATTTTTCTAATTCTAATACAAAACGCACACTAAGCTACTTCATATATACTTTTTTAACAATCTAGATTTGATCTTTTTCTTAAATGTACACATTGACTTGACATTTTTCACATCACTCTCTAGACCATTCCACAATCCAACTCCTTGGATTGAGGTAGACCTTCCCTTCAGACTAGTTCTGAATTTTGGTTTGACAAATATCTCTATCCCCTTAAGATTGTAACAACTTTGTCTTTTAACAAAATTTCTTTGGATATTTAATGGTAATGTGTTATTTTGAGCCCTATACATAACTGATAAAATACTATAATCTACTAAATCATGGAACTTCAATAACTTCAGTTGATAAAATAATGTGCTTGATGGGTGACAGTAATGCTTTCTGGTGATAATTCTTACAGCTCTTTTCTGTAAAATAAAAATAGGTTTTGTAAATGTTTTACACGCTTTCCACCAAACATCAATGCAATAGATTAAATTTGGAACAATGATTGTGTTATACAACATGTACAGAGCTTTATCATTTAATAATTCCCTGACTTTGTATAGTACTGCAATAGATTTAGATATTTTTGTTCTTACAGAATTTATGTGATTTTTCCATGTTAGCTGTTCATCAATGATTACACCCAAAAATTTCATCTCATTAACTCTACAAATCTCAACACCCTCAATTTTAAATGGATTATCAACAGTTTTCTTTTTGTTACTAAATATCATGTATTTAGTTTTATCTAAATTTAATGATAATTTATTAATTTTAAACCAAGTTTGTATTTTATCCAATTCTGTCTTCATCAGTTCCAACATCCGTTTTACATCTTTACCCAAACAAAAAAATGTGGTGTCATCTGCAAAAAGGACACATTTGAGGAGTCCTGATACATTCACTAAGTCATTCACATATAAAATAAATAACTTTGGTCCAAGTACAGAGCCTTGAGGAACTCCACAAGTGATATTGCACAGGTCAGATCTTACACCATTTATTTGTACAAACTGTTTCCTATCTTTTAAATAGCTAGATACCCAGTGTAATGCTGGTCCTCTTATACCATATTTATTTAATTTATGTCTCCTCTTTGTCTTTTTTCCTGGCAGCTGCATTTCTAACATCCTTCTACCAGTATACCCACTGTCCCCTCCTCTGGACATGTCCAAACCATCTCAGTCTGGTCTCCCTAACTTTATCTCCCAGTTGTTCAACCTGTGCTGTACCTCTGATGATCTCATTCCTAATCTTCTCCATCCTTGTCTCTCCTAAGAACCTCAACATCTTCATGTCTGTTACTTCCAGTTCTGTCTCCTGTCTTTTTGTCCATGTCTCTGTCTCCAGACCATACAACAGAGCTGATCTCACCACTGTCTTGTAAACTTTTCCTTTGACCTTTGCTGACACCCTTTTGTCACAAATCACTTCTGAAACTTTTCTCCATCCTCTCCATCCTGCCTGGACTCTCTGCTTCTCCTCTTTACCACACTCCCCATGTTCCTGGACAGTGGACCCCAAGTCCTTGAAGTCCTGCACCTTTGTGACCTCTGCTCCTTGTAGCCTCACTGTTCCACCTCCTCCCTCTCATTCACACACGTACTCGGTCTTACTACGACTGACTTTCATTCCTCTCCTTTCAAGTGCGTACCTCCACCTCTCCAAGTTCTCTTCCACCTGTTCCCTGTTCTCACCACAGATCATAATGTCATCTGCAAACATCATAGTCCACGGGGATTCCTGTCTGATCTCATCTGTTAGTCGGTCCATCACCAGAGCAAACAAGAAGGGGCTCAGAGCGGATCCTTGATGCACTCCCACCCTGCACCTTGAAGCTATCTGTCACTCCCACAGCAGTGGTGTAGTCTACATTTCTATGGTGGGTATAGGGTTAAACCAAAGTACATGAGATAACCCCAGGTGGAGCAGTGGGCCGGGGATTGGGTCTTGCTCCACACCATGACATGGGGCGTTATGCTCAGCTCTGGTCCCATCTCGGCCCACTACTGCCCACATTAAAATTAAAGAAGTGGACTTAAAAATGCAATTACAACTTTATCAATGAATGTATGCAACAAATTTACTATGATCATCATATTCCTTCGACAAACCTCCCAATATAAAACCAATGACTTCGTCTTCAGCGCATTTTAAATGTCTCCTACAGTTTAGGAGAAAACTGGTCGACCAGTTTAATAGTTCCACCAGCTGGGTTTGTTAATGGGACCAAAAGAAAAAACCATGATCTGGAACTAAACCGACATTATTGTAAGGACTCCGAGGTTTAATAAAGAGTTTGCGTTACCTTCAGCTGACGTTCCTCGCGCAGCAGAAAAATAACTGCGTCACGTCGAAAAACGAAAGTGAAACCACCAGAAAGGGGAAGTAACGTTAATAATTAACAGCTAAAGAAAAAAAAACGTAAAAACTAAACATTAACAATCTTGTTTTTAAATCCAATAGGGGGAAAAAACGTTTAATTATAGGCTTCAGCTTTTACATGGTGTAAACAGTGGCGGACTTAGCTATTGTGTGGCCCAAGGCTACCCTTTCAGAAGGGGCCCACCCCCCTCTGTAGGGCTGCCACAATTTTCCTACTGCAGTACTCTGAACCAGACAGTAGCGCAACATACATTTTATTTTATGTTAATAAGATAACTATTCAGTAAAATATTTTTTTGAATGTGAAAAAAAGTGCTCAAGCAAATCTTACATGAATAGTCAGCGCCACTAACTATATACAAACTAATAATGTCAGGGTGGGCAATTCAGTAAAAATACAATATTTTCCTAAATTAGCATATTTCATAACTTTATATCACGACTCTTTTAGTTTCGTTTTGCAGACTCCTCTGACAGGCCACAGTTGTAAGATCATTGAGGAAACGCCCATGGGTTTGAGAGAGGTGGTGCTTGGAAGCAAATCCAAATGGCCATTGGTGTAGTCTACATTTTTCCAGTGGGTATACTGTGGTTAGAAACCAAAGTACACCAGTTAGTACAATGTAATCGTTAATTTATTTTGATTTTTCAGCATATTGAACATTTCAAAATTTCTCTGATGCTTATAGTACAACAAACTTTGTATGAAAAACGTTATAGAATTTATAAAAAGGTATCAAAGCAAAACATGTTCAAGTAGTAAGCACAGAAGTATTAATTATACAAAAAACAGTGTCTCTAAAATGTTCCAGATGTGTTGACAATGACACGAGCCCATCACGTATCATTGTCAATTATACATGGGCACATGTCATTGGGCACTTTTAAGTGGGTATACTGAAATTCCCAAGCTTTTCTAGTGGGTATACTACGTATAGACGTGTATCACATAGACTACACCAGTGCAAAAGGCCCATTGCAAGTGTGGAAAGGGACTGGATGAAGGATGATGGGCAACGAGACGTCCAGGCTAGTGAGACACTTAAGCTGTAAAACTACAATATAAAGTTATTTTGGCTGTAATACTTGTCATTTGCCTTTTTCTATTTTAAATTTAAAACATTATTTATACAACATATCAATCTGAAGAGAGAGTAAAGTGAACGAGTATGTTTCGGACTATAAGGCGCATCGAGCGAAAGAAGTTCATTTTGCCAGTTTTGAGCACTAAGCGGTTCGAGGTCAGTAAGAATTAATACAGAAGGCGCACCGGATTATAAGGCCCACTGTCGATTTTTGAGAAAATTCAATTTTAAGTGTTTTGTAATCCGAAAAATACGGTAACTGCAATCATGAAATGTTTAGTAATGTAAAAACGAAAGTCGGACAGTATAAGAGTTGTATAAAGCCGTATCTGTGTGAGGGGGGTGGGAGGAATATGAGGACAGAGTTCAGGGAGTCGGCTGAGATTAACCATTAATCTTAGGGGAGTGGTGGGGCAGAGGTTAAAGAATGTGGGCCTGTGATCGGAAGGTCGCTGGTTCAACTTCCTGGACCAACATCAAAATGTGGGTGGAAAAGGTGAAACACTTATACCAACCTCCACCCTCACTTGCCCCACCCTTGAGCAAGGCCCTTTATGCCCACCACCAGCTGTGGTTGTATAATGTGTCTGGTTTTAATTTGTGGGGATTTTCCATTAAACGGGGCCATTTATCAAAGGTACTATTAAAGAATGGTGTGACCCTTCATGATGTATTTAGGACCCAGTTTCATCCACAAGGTGTCACTGCAAGACTAATTTTAATTTAAGAATTTACAGTACAGCCTTACAGCTACAATCTTTTTTTTTTTTTTACTTATTTGAGTTTAAATACACAAACTTGTTGAGTTGTAATTCCCCTTTAGATTGTAAAAATATGGATTACAAGTTTAAAAAGAACCAAACATTCAATAAACTGGACTAGATGCAATGTATCAATTGAAGACCAATCCTGAATAATGTTAGTTTTTATGTCCACAGTTGCTCAGTAATCCCGTCAACTTCAAATATTTGGTATTTGGGTAGTACACGCTCAGCTGTGAATACTGATTGTTGCAAATACAAGAGTTCGGTTAAAGCAGTAGCAGATTTTTCAAAGTGAGACTGTGGAGAAGGGTATGAACAGATAATATCTTACTTGTTGTAGATAACCTTTTTGATCAATCTCTGGAGAATCAGAGGTTAAATTCATGGATTAACGAGCGAGAATAAGTGCAACTCCCACCTCAAAGATTCCATAGCAGTGTATGCTTCCTGCATAAGTAGCATTTGAATGACCCAGTATAAAACAGGCTGCTGTTTAATATAGCATATTTTACGTTATTAGTGTGTAGCATATATCAAATCTTTTAGCGTATTGTTTAGCGTATATCTTAGTGTCCCGTATTTTTCGTCGTACACGTTGCACCGTGTAAGTCGCATCAGTACAAATGCGTCTAATAAAGTGGAAAAAACATAAATGCGCCGCTTCCCCGTATGCGTCGCATCTATTACGCGTCACCGCTGACGACACGGAAACGTGGACCGGTGTTGTGCCAAAAATCGATTGGCTGCCGAACGGCGGCCGCGGGAGCGTGCACGGGAGGACTTTAACAAGAATTTAACAAGATTAACACTTAAAAACAATTGTTTGTTTGCTCGAAATTATAGCAAAGGTGTGTCTCAGTTTATTTTTTTTATATAAATGCACACTGACGGTCAAATCAGCTGCATTTCGCCTGGGCGGCGAAGCGAAATTCAGCTGATTTGACGTTTGCTGCAGGAGCTCCTGAGCAAGACGAAGGTGACTCTGTATGGCAAGCCAAATGTCTCATTAATAGCCATTTTTACCTATTAATGAGACACTTGGCTTGCCATATTAGTCACGGGCCCTCTAGTGGCTGAAAATGGTAGTGTTCAATATTTTCAATGTCAGAATTTTTTTTTTCATTTAGCCTTTATTTATCCAGGTTAGTCTCATTGAGCCACGAGAACTCATTTTCAAGAGAGACCTGTTTTAGGGAGCACATGGTGGGGGTTAAGGGCCTTGCTCATGGGCCCAGAGTGGGGCGAATGAGGGTGGGGGCAAATGGAGGTGTTTCACCTACCCCACCCACAATTTTTGATGTTGTCGGGGCCGGGGCGTGAACCGGCGATCTTCGGATCACAAGCCCACCTCTCTAACCTCTGCGCCACCACTCCCCACATGAATGAAATCGTCAGATCTCAGCCAAAAATTGGGTTAGAAATATGGGAAAAACGTATACTAGTTGCTTCACCGTATTAGTCGTAGGGTATGCTAATTTATACAAAAGGGTGTGACTTATACGGCGAAAAGTACAGTATATCTTAGATCCTTGTATACTGCTTCTTTATATACTTTATATTTTTGCCATTTTTGGGGTGTAACTGGGACCTTGAGTACATAATTTCGTTCCACCTCATGTACCACGTGTGATGCAAATGACAATAACGAAACTTGAACTTAAAAATCTTTAAAACTGTAACTGTCGTTTTACACCTGCTATCTACTTTGAGCTTGGTCCTGCTTAGACAAGCCATTAGCTTTCTATCAGAATCAAACTATATTTCCTACTTAATGGCAAAACACTCGAGCAGAGTATGACGAGCACGAACAAAAACTTGTCACTCATCAAGTATGCTGATGACATCACCCTGGTTGCTGGTCTGAAAGACACCAGTAGCCCTTTCTATTCCCACCTGCCTGGTTTGATACGACAGTTTTCAGTCAGGAACTTTATCTGGGAATTGCGTTGAAAGCATCTTGAACCAGGTTTGTATTCAGGCCTTCAAATATACGTATGCCATGTTGCAAGATGGCGCTAGTGTGTGGCTTGCAGTCTCTCGCTGTTTGTGTTCGTGCCGTTTTTGTTTTTTATCGCCAGTGCCAGTTCACTGCTTGTGTATGATCGCCAAACATTTGTTGGATCTTCGTCTCTCTGCCAAGGATTTATTGAAAATCGACTCTGATTGTGGTGTTCATGCGACGTTTCAGCCGTCTTTCTTCCCCGGTCGGACACTTGCTCGCCTCTGCCACACCCTCAGTCCACTCCCTCGGGGTAAACACCGGCACCGCCGGGGCAAACGCAGCGGCCGACTGTTAATGTTTAAGGCTTTCTTGGCACGGTTTCCCGTGGCCTCCCAGAGGAGAAATGGAGCGGTACCTGGTCTCTTTCTGAGCCCGCGGACGTTGGACCCTGCTGACAGCTGGCTGGTGTGTGTCGTCTGTTCGGATGATGTGGTCTTCCCCCGCGGCCCCTGCTCTCCCCGTCGTCACCGGCATGGTGTGGATCCCTGCCATCTACGAGCCCTACGTCGGGCTCCACAGACAGCTGCAGCTTCGGATGCGCCGGCCCCTGCCAGGTTCGGCCTTGTTAATGCAACATCACTGTCAAATAAAACTTTCATCTTGAGGGAGTTCTTCATGTCCCGTGATCTGGATTTTCTCTGCGTGATGGAAAAACATGGCTGAGAACCGGCGAGCCCACCGCTCTAATTGAACCGTCACCACCGGATATCTGCTGTTTTAATTCCCCGCACCTGTCGGGTCAAAAAGGAGGACGAATAGCAGTAGTTTGGAAAAACGATCGACACTGAGACTGAGCTGAATACAACACCTCAGACTGAGGAAGTCTTTCAGATGAGAGATGAAACGTTTCTACTTTTTTGTTTGTTTTGTTTTGTTTTTTGAATGTCCAGAGGATCAGGATCAGGAATCAGGTCTCTCTTGTAAATGAGTCCCTGAGGCTCAATGGGATTAACCTGTCTAAATAAAGTACTTGTACTTTCGCTGAAGTATCACTTTGAGGTACTTGTTTATTTGAACTCCAGAGCATTTTACAGTGAAAGGCTCTTTAAATGGCCGAGCATTACACATTAAAAGGCAGATGGGGGCAGCATTTATCCACAGAGTGAACAGACTATC